TTTCGTAGAAGATCACGTCACGTGCTGCTACTGTTTCCTTTGTGTGGACGTCGAAGATTCTCCATGCGTTGTAATTTTTCTCGATGCCGAGGTGTAGTCCCCACTGTGCCCGTTGCGAAAATCTTCCCGCTCGTGCTTCTGGGGGTCTGTACTGTACCATGCACCCGAAAACTCGTAACATTTTCGTGCTGCCCTGCTTCCCTGTCCACAGCAGATGCGGTGATGCGTTGTTCGGGAGTGAGGACGACGACAACAAGTTGTGCAGCATGACAGCGTGGTCCATTGCTGCTGGCCACTGGTGGTTGGGTAGCCGCATGCCACGTAACAGTTTGCGCATGCTGTTCTGCAGGGTCCTGTTCAGTCGTTCTGCAACACCTTGCTGCTGATGTGCGTAGGGAAGGGAGAGGAGTTGCTTGATCCCCCTTTCCGCCAAGAACTGCTTGAAGCGCTGAGAGGTGTACTCGCCACCTCCGTCTGACTGGAAACTTTTCAGTTGTGTTCCAGACTCTCTCTCTGCTATCGGTAGCCAGGCGGCGAATACTGCGAGCGCCATGTCGCGGCTGGGTAGGTTGCGATGCCAGACGTATCGAGTGGCGGCGTCGATGAAGGTGATGGTGTAGTTGTAGTTGACTTGTCCTGGTTCGCGATTGTAGAGGATGTCACTGTAGACTTTTTCGAGTGGTGCGTACGCTGGAGCGCTCGGGTTGTGATGTGAAGCAAACGGTCGATGAGGTAAGTCAGCTTCGGGACATATAAGGCAAGTCCCTCGTGCCTTCTGGAGTTCTCTGCCATCGGGTAGAAGTAGAGAGTCTTTGTCAAGGACTCCTGCTCTTATCGTGTTATTCAAAACCGTGTTGCTTGGATGTCCTGTGCGTGCGTGCCAGATCTCTTCAGAGGCGCGGTGTCCGGGTGAACGCTGATATGCGTCGGAGTTGGAGTAAAAGCTGGCGACGAGGTTGGCGCTTCGGTGGACTTCACGTTGAGTCGGATTCAGCTGTTGCGCGGGTGTTGGTGGTGCTTCGTCGACTGTGACTGGTGTCGTTGTTCCTGCTGCTGCTGATGTTGTTGCTGCTGCCGATGTTGTTGCTGCTGCCGATGTTGTTGCTGCTGCCGATGTTGTCGCTGCTGCCGATGTTGTCTCTGCTGCCGATGTTGTCGTCTCTGCTTCTTGTTGAATCGTTGCTAACGCTCTTGTTCGTTCTGCTTCAGGGATAGTGTGGGAGTACCAGAAACCTCCCGGGCTGAAGTCGGGGTCGAGATCCGGAGGGTGTGTCCAATCAGCAAAGTTCACAATGGCGTCGCTGTCTGCAGTGCCGAGGTCGGGAGCGAAGTCGAGGACGAAGACGTTGTTCTTCAGCACTGCTTTCCCGATGTAGAGACCGCCTCTCACGTGGTAAAGCTTGAACTCCTGGGTCGTGCTGTCGGCTTCCAGATGAATTCCTTTCGCCATCAACTGGCTAACGCTCAGTAAGTTGTAGCCGAGTCCTTCAGCGATGAGTACCTTAGACATGTGCAGTATGACATTTGTTTCTCTTGACTGAAGCTGTACCACTCCTTGTCTTCGTGTGCGCAGGTTTTGGTTGTTGGCAACCGTGATGATCACTTCCCGTTGGAGTCGATGTTCGCGTTGTACGAAACGCCCGGACGAGCACATGTGTTGCCCGCAGCAACTGTCCAAGAACCAGGTGTCTTGGCCGGACGGTTCACTTTGAGCGATAGCGGCGTAAGTCGGATTTGGATGGAGTGATTCGCGACGAGGCGTCCTGTTGTCGAGCTCCTCTTCCGGTGAGTAATGGGGTGGTGACTCTGTTATGCAAGAGTCGTTTATCTTGACCATGCAGTTGACTATATGTCTTGCTCCTTGTGCAGGTTGTCCAGTTGAGGTCGTTGAAGCTTGAATCGTGGTTGTCGAGCTTGCTTGTGTCGAAGCAGCTTGGGTGCTTGAAGGCCGCAGTTGTCGCTGTGGTGTTGTCTGTCGAGACGGGCAGTGCGTGCGTGGGTGTCCTGATGTCTTGCAGATGTGACAAAATGGAGGTACTAGCTTCGGCTGCTGCTGTCGATTGTTGTAGTTGTTGTGTCGTCGCTGAGTATGGAAAGCAAACTCCGGTGCTAATGTCTTTTTCTTGTGTCTTTCTTCTTGCAGGTCCATATCCTGCTGCTCGGCGTGAATTTCTGCGCAAAGTGCCGCTTCGGAGATCCTCCCGTGTGCTCGAAGAATTGCTTTGGTGGCGCGCCACTGAGGACCGAGGCCACCGATGACGACTGTTACGAAGGCGTCTTCAGAGATTGACCCTCCACATCGAAGAAGCTTGTCGCGCAATTCGCGACATCGGCTGATATACGCCAACCCTTTTTCTCCTGGTTTCATTTCAACTGTTGTCAGCTGCGCCATTAACCTGCTCTGGTTTACACTGTCTGTTGCCTGGTACAGGTTCTTCAGATGGCCGTACGCGAGTTCCGCCGAGTTGCCGAAGTTCCGGTAAGAGCGAATGTTCTGCTGCTGGGTTGGTGTGATGTTTCTCAGTAGAATAGTATACGCCATCATGGATTGATACGTATACTGCTGCTTTTCATACTGTGTCCCGTTTGCTGGATACTGCAGGGATCCGTCGAAGAAGCCGAGTATCTGCGCGCCCTCCATCATCAACTCGAATTCAAAGGACCAGGTAAAGAAGTCCTTTCCGTCGAAAGGTCTTGACGTCTGTAGTTTCAGAACATGCGCGAACTGCGACTGTACTTGTAAGGCATCCATTGGTTTGTCTTGCGCAGGTGGAGGTTGAGGCAGGAAGCTGATCGACCCGCGTTCGTACGGGGCGAAGGTGGGTTGCTGCTGTTGATTCCCTCGCGCGTATGACGACCCGTCAAGGCTCATGGGTGCCGCTCCGTTGTTGCTGTTGTGTGTCTGTGCAGATCCCGACTGCTGGTGTTGCTCGTAGAAGGACATGAAGGAGAAGAATTTCTCCATCATGTTCTGGTCGAAGTCAGAAGGATGGTTCGTAGGAGTCTCGGTTGAAGTTCCCCTTGGTCTTGCTGCCGTGCCTTCCTCTGTCTGCAGGCCAGAGGCTGGTGGTGGAGTAGGAATAGTGCCCGAGGAGCCATTAGGAGAGCTCCTTTCCTTGTTTGTTGCCATGTCTTGAAATGATTTTGAAAAGAGTTAGAGTTTTCCCCTGTCCGCTCTCATACCATGTTGGGCTGAAAAAAAATAGCCCTTAGGATCTTTGCAGAGGAGAACTCTTGGGTAGAAACTTGTAATAGCGGAAGCGTTTAATGAGGATTGTGAACCGACCTTGCACTGGTGTGTGAGAGCAAAGTAGATTAAATTAAACAAGCAAATACAAGGATTTATATAAGAGTACAGGGAATACGAATAGATAGATAGATAACTGTATTGCTGTTGCGGTTCGATATGGTGCGACTCGGGCAACTGCTCTGTAACGAGTCAGTTGTGTGTCCTTAACTGTCGCGCTGTAATTGTCGAGTCAAAGGTCAGCGACCTTTGACTTTCTCGTAACCTCCAGGCGGTTACCCTAACCTCCGAGGTTGACTCGATGCTTCGATTGGGATTGCTTCGCTTGGTGCCTTGGATTTTGATACGACAGAAGCGCACTTAGGACTTATTGTTTCCAACAACCCTCGCCCGTTGGCTCGGGGTAAAGTGAGCCTATCACGACGTAGATTAGCCAATGCAAAGTCACCTACGCGAACGGATGATCACCTAACAAGGCAGAGTATTGAATGTAGCAACGATAACGATGGTTCGCCACAGTCATAGGTTGAGCTTGAGAATCCTCATCCGTGTTTTTTCCCAAGCACACCCTTAGAATGCTCGCCACATTAGTTCTCTGACTCCCCTCCGCCCTCACATCATCCGACAATCCGAGCCAATGTCGAGCTCATTTATCAAGAACACGATATTGCTTGGCATGATGCTCCTCAAACTCATATATGGACCATCATTCTATTGCATATTGAACCTGTGTCGGCAATCCTGTTGGTTGCACAACTCTTCGAGCACGAACTCTAGGAAAGGGATGCGTCGTGCTAGCGGCAACCGAACGAGTATGGGCGGAAAGGGTGCCCGTACTTGCCGTGGCCATCGACCCCCGGTCCACGTCGTCGACCCCTTTCCTCATCATCCTCAAAACCCTCCTCCCCAACCCTCAAAGCGTCAGTTGTCTCCGAGGAGTACGTCGCCATGATGACATAACTGATGAGGTGTGTGGTTTAGAGGGTGAGAGGAGGGAACATCAGGCAGAAAACAAGAAGGGAGAGGGAGAGGTTAGGAAGTGAAGGGGGAGGGGGCGGAGGTGGTGGGGGAGGGGGTTAAGGCTGTCATTGACTTGAGTAGGGAAGCCGGACGAGGGAAGGATATTGTAAAGTTGGTTCTCCGAATGGGAGGACTGGGGGGTGAGAAGGTAGGGGTGCTGGGGAATAAGGGGGGAGGAGTTACATCTAAAGGACTGAAGCCGGGTTCACAAGCGGCTGAGAAGCAAAGGCAGAAAGGAACGATGAGCAGGCGGGGAAGGGAGAGGAATAGGAGGGGACGGAGAAAGTGCGGATGGGAAGGAGGGGATTGCAGAGTTGCTTTCCTGGTTTAGAGGATGGCAAGTGAGGGATGGCAGATGGGAAGTATGGCTACTCTGAAACTCAGGACGCGAGGGTGCCGCGACGGACGAGGGGAGAGGTGGGATGTAAGGGAGTGATCATGGGTAACCATGAAAGGGGGCGGCATGGGAGCTAGAATGGCACCCACGGCAACTCGGAATGGTGTAGGAGGATTCCCAATATGGGAACGCAGTGAGGGTGCTCGCGTAAGGACATGTGGGACGCGGGGACCCTAAACTTTTATGAGATAAGCACAGAGGGATGGTGACGGTTGAGTGAGGAAAAGGGCATTGGGACGGCAGATTCCAATTCATGATAAATACTGGTAAGGGGCGTGGGAAGCACCTGATGATGGAGGGGTGACCAAGGATGTAGGATCCCAAACCTCAGTTCACTCAACCTGCAAGAGGAGCAGAGGAGGGAAAGGGCAGAGAGCGAAAAAGGAGCAGGGGGGGGAAAGTGGAGCAGGGGGGAAACAGAGGGGCAGTGGGGGAAAAGAGGAGCAGAGGGTGGAAAGAGGTGCAGTAAGGGAAAAGAGGAGCTGGAGGGGGAATCTTGAGCAGAGGGGGACAAGAGGAGTAGAGGGGAGAAAGAGGAGCAGAGAGGTGGGGTGGAGAGCAGGGGGCGAAAACTGGAGCAGGGGAAAAAAAGAGGAGCAGATGGGGAAATGCCAGCGTGCTCGGAGCGTTTTTGAGGGCGTGAGAGGTGGGGAAACGAGGGCAAGCAGGGTGGGAAATGAGGACAGCAATCGAGGGGGAAACGAGGGCGTACAGGTGGGGAACAGAGGGCGTGCCAGGAGGGTTTTCTGAGGGCGTGCAAGGTGGGGAAAAGAGGGCAAGCAGGGTGGGAAATGAGGGCGCGGAAGAGGGGGAAACGAGGGCGGACAGGAGGGGAAGAGGGGGCGTGCAACGAGGGTTTTCTGAGGGCGTGCAAGGTGGGGAAACGAGGAGGGTGGGAAATGAGGGTGTGGAAGAGGGGGAAACGAGGGCGGACAGGAGGGGATGAGAGGGCGTGCCAGGAGGGTTTTCTGAGGGCGTGCAAGGTGGGGAAACGAGGGCAAGCAGGGTGGGAAATGAGGGTGTGGAAGAGGGGGAAATGAGGGCGTAAAGGTGGGGAATAAAGGGCGTGCAAGGAGGGTTTTCTGTGGGCGTGCAAGGTGGGGAAACGAGGGCAATCAGGGTGGGAAATGAGGGCAGCAATCGAGGGGGAAACGAGGACGTACAGGTGGGGAAGAGAGGGTGTGCAACGAGGGTTTCCTGAGGGCGTGCAGAGGGGCTGCGGAAGCCTCGCCGTTGCAAGAGTGCGAGCCAGCGCCGAGGGCAATATTCGTGATCAGCGACACGAAAGGAGGCCGTCGCGAGACGCGGAGAGGCAGCGAGGGTTCAGCACGCAGACTAGAGGAGCACGCGCAGGGGGGCGAGAGGAGCACGCGAGGGGAGGCGAGAGGAGCACGCGCGGGGAGGCGAGAGGAGGCCGCGTGGGGAGGCTAGAGGAGTGCGCGCGGGGAGGCGAGAGGAGCGCGCGCGGGGAGGCGAGAAGAGCGCGCGCGGGGAGGCGATAGGAGCGCGCGGGGAGGCGAGAGGATGTCGCGCGGTGAGGAGAAACGTGGGCGTGTGCGTAGGGGGGTGTGTGAGAGACGGTGGGAAGCGTGGGGGTCGCGGACGGCGATAGGGCCAAATGCGATGTTTGCGGCCAGGCGAGGTACGGGCTTATCGAGTGTGGAAACGTGGGTGCCCCAGTCTGGAGAGTGGGGAGGGGTGGGGACACGACAACGGAGAAAGGGGGTGGTCGGAGTGGTGAACGAAGCGTCGGAATGGGGCACGACGACGTTGACGAGGAAGCGACGGGAGGGGAGAGGGGTAAGGGCGATGGGAGGGCAATGGCGACGGGGAAAGGGGGGAAGCGACTGTGATGGTGCGTCAAGGGGGAGGACGATGTGTGGGGGTTTGAGGTTCACCTATCGAGGCAGTTTATAGCGACGTAGAATAATATGCGCTTCGAGCGGTTTACGCTTGGGATGATGGCAAAATAAGTGTGGTCGGGGTTGAAGGTAGGAAATTGCGTCAAGCACTTGCTTTAGTGGCTCCTCATTCTATCTCATCGCATGAGTTTCGCGTACTAGACGCACAAGCAATCCTGAATTACCATTTTTCTCAAAACTGTGTACAGGCAGAGCCCTTCTTCCTTCAGCAAAGTGTGGTTGGGACTCTCATCAAGCAAACCTGTTCTGCTCTACGACTCTGCCTTTTTGTGATGCGACGTTTTCTGGTAACCAGCCTGGCTCGGGAGGTCAACTGTGGGTTCGGTAGGCAAACTGTGCTTAGTTTGCCCTATTACACCCTGTTTCTCGACCCTCTCACCTTGCGCGATTCGCTGCTACAGTGCGGTCAGGTGCCATAAACCGTATGGCTGAAACCTGCGGGCAAAGCCGCACCAGCTGACGGAGTGGTACTGGGGGCAAATTTTTTCTTTATCGCTGTATACCCTTTTCAACCGCTTTGAAACGCTTGGTTAATGTTCTTTACCATGCAGCATCCTAGCTAACCGCTTTCTTGTTAATGTGCTTGTACCGTCGGTGATAAGACCATTTCAAACGTGGTGACGTTCTACAACCTGTGCATGTTCTGCAACCAGATGCTCTGCTAGCGCGAAACAGGGTGTATTTGTAATTCAGGTCTTGGGCTTTAACAACCACGACATTAAGGCATAATGCTTGCCTCCTACTGATATTACGGCATGTCCTACCCGACCTAAACATCAGCAAAACCTTTTGTTTTCTGGTGGTGTAAATGGGCGCAATTCTTCGATCCTGGTTGATACAGGTGCGATTGCATCATTGATCGATGAGAAGTGGATGGGATACTTGAATTCTCCTGTTCAAGGACCATCTTGTTCTATCCGTTTGAGAGATGACAAGGTCATCCCATACAGAGGGCATGCGTTAGTTAACCGGGATATCCAAGGATATGAAGAGACCATCAGCGTTGTTGTCTTACCCCTTCTAGCAGGAGAAGACATTGTCTTGGGAATGGATTGGTTATGACTTTATGCGGTGGTTTTGTCCCATTCACAATAAATAGGACGAAGACATAATGGCAACTCCCAAAGCGGCATGCACTGGACGACAAACTTAAAGCTTGACTCTTGATGTGTGCTTTGAATCGGCTCTCCAATTCAAAGAGCACGTCAACGCAGCTGATACACTTTCCGTTGTACAGTTAGACTCCGAACCAACTATCAGTAGACATACACCGTGAGATCCCCGATTGATACTAGGGAGGTTACTGGCGCGTTCGCCTGGGGGTTATGGGCACACGGACCCGCTACACAGACAAGCCTTTCTATCCAGTGAACTAGTGACTGGGATTCTGGCATCAACCACTTCACGGATTATTAAGGATTTTTCACCTCAAATGAAGGTTTGACAGAGAAATATTATGAGGTTTTTGAACTGATACCGGACGGTCTTCCTCCGAACCGGACAGTTGGCCATACCATCCCGATGGAACACGAGAAAGCGCCATCATTCATAGGAGAGTAGTAGTTATAGTGAGAAGCCATAGCTAGGTAAGTCCTAGGTAAGCAAGTGAACGTTTAGGCAAAGAAGGAGGGTTTCACTAGCAGCAATGAGGATACATATAGCAAACCCTAGATGGGTTGTACTCGCTATAGAGCACCCCACTACAGGCTAGAGAATAACATTCTGACACACCCCCATAGCCAAAGTGGGGTGTAATCAGTACAATGAGCAAGCAGGTATAGAGCAGGAGTTCACAAAGGTAAGCAAAGCTAGAGCTAATCACAGAGGGCAAGTGAGGAGGAGGAGAGACTGTGGGGGGAGAGAAGATGGGAGGCGACTGCTGAAGCTGCAGACACACAGGAGCTGCTGGCTTAGTGGCTACCGAAGCAAAGGCCCGGACTACAGGAGTAACTAGCTCCGCGGCTAAAAGTAGCGGCAGACGAGCAACTGACCCACAGGCGACTGGCGACTACCGGAGATTGTAGCCTCCGGACTGCTGGTGCTGCTGGCGACAAGACTGCTGCCTCCACTCAACCTCCCCCAGCTGCCCAACGCCCCTCTCACACACCCCCTGCTCAAACCCTAGCTCCACTCCCACAGCACCCCCCTTAAACCCTAAACCCCAGACTCCCACACATCCACCCCCCTTACCGACAGCTACAGCAGTGGGAGACGAAGGAGGAGGAGGAGAAGGGGACGGCGCGCACAACCGACACCCCCACAACCATCACCCCCACACTCCTCACCCCCAAAACCCTAAAACGGGTGGGATAGGGGCAGGAGCGCGGGGGATGGTGAGGGGGGGACAGCGCGAGACCCCCAGGGCGCCAGAACTGTGAGAGTACGACGGCTTATGCCAGCTATGCTTGCTTGCCTCTACTTTATCATGCTATTTCTAGCATAGGATAATCATATGCATGCATGAATTGCTTGATTTCCTAGGCTAGGTGCTTTCCTATATTTTATTATAGTTATAGCACCGAGCTAGGTTGCGTGCACCGAATTCTGGCTTTTCGGTTGCCACCGAATTGCCTTCTACCGAATTCGGTAAGGATCTGTTCGGGACGCTTCGCGACGCGCGGAACCTTCGCGTAACACCTGGTTACGGGGCCTTGTGTCGAGCCTATATATAGCCTCGTGTTGTACCCAGGTGGACATTCAATTCAATTCAATTTGAATCATCTTTTCTGAGCTCGATCCTAGATCCTCACACTTGGTAATCAGAGCGGGTTTACACGCGAGGTCTTCAACCGCTTAGTTCCGGCCTTTAAAAACCGCGGGGGCGACGACGAAAGCGCCGATACGGGTATGTAAAACCAGTTCCGCGCAATTTTTCTAAGTCCCCCTCGATTCGGTTTTCGAACACCCCTCTGATTTACTGGTGGAAAGATTGGAGTTTCGACCGTTCGATCGAGTTTCATCTCAACGGCCTAGAGAATTTCGCCCAAAAAAGTTGGAATTTGGAGCGTCGGATCGATTTTCTCCTCAACGGCCGAGATCGGACGCGAATTTCGCCTAAGGGAGATTTACGCAACCTACAGAATTCGCGCTCGTCGATTCTACAGTCAATTTGACTCGCAGTAAGTCGACCAGCACCTTGAATTCGATTATTTTCGTCGCACATCTTCCTGTAAATCACCAAATGGAGGGCCAAGGCGACAACTACGCGACTACGAGCGACATCGCGAGCCTCCGCACCGACATGGAGCAGACGCAGGCGACGCTTCGTCGACTTGAGGCTTTTCTGACAAGCCAACCAGGGTTCGCCACAGCAGCAGTGGCGACACCGACATTTCACGGACCAATGGCACCACTGTCGCCGAACCTCGAAGCAGCACGACCGAGGCTCCCGGAGGCGTTCGATCCAAGCGCGAAGGGATCCGACATCCGGCGATTTGTGGCCACCCTCGAAATTTACTTCGAGGCCATTGGCTGTTCGACCGCGCAACACGACGCAGCAAGGATTCGGCTCGCAGCGACACTGTTACGTGGACCGGCTCTCGAATGGATTTACTACACCGACGTAGCCCGCGGGGAGAAAACTGTCAGAATATTATTCTTATGTTCTAGCCTGTAGTGGGGTGCTCTATAGCGAGTACAACCCTTCTAGGGTTTGCTATTTGTATCCCCATTTCTGCTAGTTCATTCCTCTTTCTTTCTTCTAATTTTGACATGCTATCAGAGCAGGTCCATCCCCCTGGATCGATCCTGTGGGTGGGCTTACCACCGCTTAGCTTCCGCTGCTACTACTGCTACTACTCTCTGAGCCGCACGCCCCGTGGCGTGCGGCATTTTTTCATCCCGCCGTGCGCCCCGAGGCGCGCGGCGGTTTTCTGCCCGCCGTGCGCCCCGAGGCGCGCGGCGGTTCATTGCCCGCTGTGCGCCCCGGGGCGCGCGGCGGGCTTCTCCCCTACGTCGCGGCCCCGCCCCGATCGTCGCAGCCCCGCCCCTCGACGCGGCCCCGCTCTACGTCGCGGCCCCGCCCCGGCCCGTCGCCGCCCGTGCGCCTGCCCGGCTCGGCCCCGCCCCTCGACGCGGCCCCGCTCTACGTCGCGGCCCCGCCCCGGCCCGTCGCCGCCCGTGCGCCTGCCCGGCTCGGCCCCGCCCTACCTTTGCGGCCCCGCCCTATGTTGCGGCCCCGCCCTATGTCGCGGCCCCGCCCTACGTCGCGGCCCCGCCCTATGTCGCGGCCCCTGTGAAGTAAGGAAAACAGGAATGAATTGACTAAGGAAAGATTGGGTACAAATACAACCCTAGAAACCCTGTACCCCATATGTGCTACCCCACTATAGCCTACAGCAACTATGTCATATAAATCTGACACACCCCCATAGGCAAAGTGGGGGAGAACAAGGGGTCACAAGACCAGTCAAGCAAAGCAAAGCAAGCTCAGGGTGGATCACAAAGTCACCACACAGTCCGAGCACAAGAGTAGGGCCAGAGGCCAGTTCACATGCAGGAGTACAGACATATATATAAAACTAGACAAGCAAGAGCAGGCATATATATATGTCACAGTACAAGTGAAGTCAAGAGGAGAGCAAGTGAGGCAAGACAGGCACAAGACCCAGCTGGGTGCAAAAGCGCTGATGGTCACAAGGCGCGAGTGCCTTGGTGAACACATCAGCAGTGTTGGCCTCAGAGGCCACGTACGCAAGTCGCAACTGACCACGCTGCTGCAGCTCACGAGCAAGGAAGTAGCGGAGAGCAATGTGCTTCGTTCTGTGCTCCAAGCGCTGCTCTCGACACAAGGCCAGCATGGCCTTGTTGTCTACGTACAGCACTGGAGGAGAACGAGGCGGCTCTCCAAGGTCAGTCAGCAGGTAGGTGAGCCAGCGAAGCTCCTGTGCAGCCATGGCCCCGGCGTAGATCTCAGCCTCACAACTGGAGCCGAGAACCGAAGACGAGCGAGTAGACCGCCACGAGACAGAGCCGGAACCAAGGCTGAAGGTGTAACCCTGTGACGACCGCTGCGTAGCCTGGTCGTCAGCCCAAGAAGCGTCCGCGTGGCCGGTAAGGACCACTGGACTCCGCCCTCCAAGCACTAGCCCCATGCCCGACGTGCTGCACAGGTAGCGCAATACCCTCTTCGCTGCAGCCATGTGCTCCGGTCTGTGTCTCCCAGGAACAACATAGCGAGCAAGAATGCTCAGAGGGTATGCAAGGTCAGGTCGTGTGCAGGTCATCAGGTACATGAGGCAGCCAACAAGCTCTGCATACGGACCACTCGACTCTACGGACTCATCCGAAGGCAGAGCTGAGAGTGAGTGGCGAGTAGGCAGAGGAGTGGCCTGAGGCGAGGAGTACGTGAAGCCGAAGCGCTGAAGGACCTGCTGCACCATGTGTGACTGAGTCAAGGTAATGGTGCGGCGTGCTCTGTCCCGAGTGATCTGCAAGCCAAGGTAGCTGCGCAGTTCACCCAGGTCTGTGCACGTGTGTCTCTTCAGCAGCTCGGACTTCACGTAGGCGAGTCCAGCAGTGTCTGCTGTGGCAAAGACCAAGTCGTCGACGTACACGAGGATGTAGAACGGCGGCAGGGAAGTGTCGGTGCGAAGAAACAGCGACGGGTCAGCAGTAGAAGGAGCAAACCCAAGAGCCGCAAGCGTAGTCCTCAGTGTGTCGTGCCACTCACGCGGTGCCTGGCGGAGACCGTAGACTGGCCGTCGGAGGCTCCACTGGG